GGGGGTGTTTCCCCATGCCCAGGCAGGCAGACTCTTCCCATCCTGCCGCCTCCCTCCTCCGCCCCATCGCTGCCCTGCTTTCTCCTCCGACGAACCCGGGCCCGCGGGCACACGGCAGGCAGAGGGCCGGGCCGACCCCCACCCACCTTGACCGTCTTGATGATCTCGGTGAAGTTGTCCATGATGGACTTGACGTCGTCCTTCAGCCTCTTGTTGTAGGACTGCAGCAGGGTCTCCTTGCTCTGGGGCAGCACGCGGGGCTGCGACATGGCGGGTCTCGGCTGCGAGAGAGGCAGGGGGGAGCTGGAGGGGGGGGCTCCCGCCTGGCCCAGGAGCCTTCCAGGGCCCGTCCCAGCAGAGCAGGGCGCCCCCACACCCTGCAGCCCCCAGCTCACTGATGCAGCCGGCTCTTGACAGAGACAGGCCTCAAGAAGGTCAAAGTTCAGGCCTAGCTCCTCCCCCAGGTGGGGGTCAGCCCCTCCCCCCACCGCCCGGCCTGCGACCCCCACCTGCCAGGAGCAGAGCCACCTGCAGGCATCACAACCTCCCCTGCTGGGCTCCAAGTGCAACCGCCCCCTCCGCCCCGTTGGTTGTTTCGCACGCCAATCAAGGCCCGACCCGTTTCAAGGGCGGTTGAGCGCGCAAGCCAGCTCTTAAAGCGGTAGAGTCCCTGTCTGGCCTTGTGGGGCGGGTCAGCTGCCAGCGGGCCTCAAGGGGGGTGCGGGGCGAGGATGGCCTATGCTGGGGCTGTTCAGCTTCTGGCCGCATAAGGACTAAATCTACTGGTGGGGGAGACTGGTGCAGGCCTGCCCCAGACCAGGGGCACCCCCAGCTCCCTGGGCTTGTTGCCAGTCTTAAATATGAAATGATGGTATTGGAAGCTCAAATGATCATGTTATCTGAAAAAAAAAAACTATCGTAGGCTGCGAATAAATGTGCAAATAAGTCTGCAGATAAGCATTCTTTTTTTAAGTAACACCATTTTGCCTTATGCTGTTATCATCGGGGATCCTGGTTTTTGCCGATTTAAAAAAAACAAACCCAATTTTCAGTTAAAAGAAAAGAAGTAATCCCAAATCCACATTTTTTGGTGATTTAAATGAAACACCACTAATATATATATATATATATATATACACACACATACGCACACACACACACAGAGTGGTATTTCATTTTAATCATGGAAAAAGCGGATTTGGGGTTACTTTTTTTTAAACCAAAAATTGGGGATTATTTTTTAAATCGGAGAAAGCAAGGGTCCCTGGTTATCGTCACATCCTGCCACTCCACTTGACACTACACCACAGTGACATTTGGTTTTACTCTTTTTCCTACTCATTCAGCTGAATTTATGACTATGATTTTTCTGTTCTCTACATTTTGGAATCCAAACTTGTGGAAGAGGTGGTATCTGCTTGATATTTGCAAACAAATTATTGCATAGATCTGCAAGCTTTCGAGCACGTTCACCTTTCATCAGTTCTCCTAGGTAAAAATGAAGAACTAGGAGAACTTTTACAATCTCTGCTCTCTCGTATGCCTGATGAAGGGCGAGCATGCCCGAAAGCTTGGAGAGCAATGCAGTAATTTGTTTGCAATCATAATAATAAAAGATATCCCCTCGTCCACAAGCGTGGATTCTTTTTGCCTCTAGACCAACACGGCCGCAACCTGCATGCCATCGTACATTTTGTCAGGTATCCAGGTTGTAGCCGTATTGGTTTACAGGTAAAAGGAATCAGGACTTGTGGTAGAGATGATATCTTTTATTAGACCAACTAGATGTTTGCCAAAAATAAAAAATTGCAAAAAAAAAAAAAAGAAAAAAAAAGATGTTTGCAAGAAAAAAGTTTGCAAGAAAATGCAAAAAAAATTTGCAAAAAAAGCAAAAAGATGTTTGCAAAAAAAACCATGTTTGCAAAAAAAATTTTTTGCAAATTTTTTTTTTCTTGCAAAAATCTAGTTGGTCTGATAAAAGATTATCACCTCCACCACGAGTCCTTATTCTATCGTACCGTTTGAACGCTCCCAGTAGCCAAGGGTTGAAATGATCCCATAAATACGGTAATTACCATCCACCCCGGCTAGCACGGCGCCTTCCCCTTTAAGAAGCAAGTCGGAAGCTCTCCCGCGCGGCTTCCCCAGGTCTTTCCTCTCCGAATCTCGCGAGAGCTGCCGCGATCTGGGCCTCGTACATATATTACCCAGCATGCCCTGCTCCCTCTTTCTACCACTGCGTCCAAAATGGTGAGAGGCGGCG